GTTCGGGGCCCTACAGCTAATTGCTGAAGACCTGGATGAGAAATCAGACCCCGCCCTGCTGGCCCGCTGTTCTGATTTCTTCATTGAACATGCTCAGTATGAGAAGGCAATGGAGCTGCTGCTAACAGCCAAAAAGGTGAGCGCCAGCTTCTGTGGCCAGGTGCACAGGTAAAGAGGGGCACAAAAGCTCTGTACGTGCATGCACATGCATTTACGCGGAGACATTCGTAAGGTGTAACATTTCCTCTCATGCCAGTGTCACATGGGGTGGTAGCCCACGGGCTCGACTCTAAAAATGGAGACTTCTTGTCTTGTTTCTGGCTTAAAACCTGCAGATTTTGCACTCTTGGGAAGATAAAAACTCTTCTTGTCTAAACTAACATATTTGGGGACAGGGAAATTATAACATCATTGGTCAGAAAACCCGGTGCTGTCCCTCTTGTCATACCACCACCGTCATTAAGGTGCTTCATTACACACCTTGCCTTGCCCTCGTTGTTGTGCTGGCAACTCAGCCCTACCAAAATGCGGGGTACCCAAGCAGTCCTGTACCCACTCCTCTTCAATGAATTCCTACGTCTTGCCTTCCCCCACCTTTGCAAGGGTACAACAGCCCTTTTCTGGGCTAAAAGATGTTGTCTATTCTACTCAGTTTGTTCCTGTATGGGAAATAGCAAAATATTTAACAAAATCTTTCAAATACCTGTGTTTATTTTATTTGTATTTGCTGAAAACCTTAATATAATAAATCACACCTAATAGATCTGAGAACTTGATGTTCAAAGAGTTGCAAAGGACGAATCTTTCGTGCCACGCTGGTGTCCTCTGAGAAAACAGGAGAGGAACAATGAGGCAGCGTGAACTTGAACAGGAGCTGATGTCAGGATGCTTAACTACACAGCGCTCTAAGGAGAGCATCCACAGCTGCTAGCGTCTGTGCCGACGCCTGTAGGTTACAGCACAAGCGACGTGAAGCATCACTGTAGCGTTGGCAGCATCTCATTGCTTTCTCACTTCATCAGTACCATGAAGCTCTGCAGCTTTGCCTGAAGCAGAACCTGACCATCACAGAGGAGATGGCTGAGAAGATGACGGTCTCTAAGGACTCCAGGGACCTCTCTGAGGAGTCCCGGAGGGAGCTGTTGGAGCAGATTGCCGATTGCTGCATGAGACAAGGCAATTACCACACGGCGACCAAGAAATACACGCAAGCAGGAAACAAGTTAAAGGTAAGCCTGGGTAGGTAGAAATAAAAGCTGAAGAGGCTGTGCCTATTGCCTTCCTAAGATGTCTCAAGAGTGTTCTGAGAAGTAAATCTCGGAACCGTCTTCATACTCCCAGACGAGGCTTCCCAGCCATCTTAGCATAGCTTGTGTTTCTGCATTCTCCTCCCCCGTGCCCCCCTTTCCATTGCTAGGCTATGAGGGCACTGCTGAAATCCGGAGATACCGAGAAAATTGTCTTCTTTGCGGGAGTCTCCAAACAGAGAGAGATTTATATCATGGCCGCCAACTACCTACAGTCACTGGATTGGCGTAAGGACCCCGAGATCATGAAGAACATCATCAGCTTCTACACTAAAGGGCGGGCCCTTGACCTGTTGGCAGGTTTCTATGATGCATGTGCTCAGGTACATCCCCCTTCTGTGACTGCTGAAGGCGTGTGCTCATTAGCTCTGGGGCAAGCCGTTAAGCTCATTTCTCCTCTCACAGGTAGAAATCGATGAGTATCAGAACTATGAGAAAGCACAGGGAGCACTGACAGAAGCATATAAGTGTCTCTCAAAAGCAAAGACTAGAAGCCCTCTGGAACAGGAGAGCAAACTTACACATTTGCAAAGCAAGATGACCCTGATAAAGCGATTCATCCACGCCCGGAGGTGAGCTGCAGTGTTCGGAGCATGTAAACTAATGACAGAAATACCATGTGAGAAGAAAAGTTGTACCGGTACCTACAGTTCAGTAAATAATTTTCAGACTCACTTCTAAAAGCTGTTATGTTTTTCTAGCAGGGAAACCATTATGTGATTTTTAAAAATGCTGTTGACATTAAAGATGAAGAATTGACCTGAAATAGAAGCACATGTATTGGCTAAGGGAAGTGTAGCCAGAAAGGCAATGATGAAGCGTAGCGCAGTAAAAAAATCTTCCCTGTTCTTCACAGGACAAGCTGAATGCTCACCCCCTGGTTGTCAGCACTTTCCTTTTGCTCTCTTGCCAGAGTTTACCCCGAAGATCCCAAAGAGGCGGTCAGACAGTGTGAACTTCTCCTGGCTGAACAAGATTTTGACAATGCCATCCGCCACGGCGATGTCTTGGGATTTCTGGTTGACCATTACGTACAAGTGGAGGAATTCCATACGGTAAGTTAAAACTTAATTCTTCCAATCTATGCAGCCCGTACTTTGTATGCACCAGCACGGCCCGGAACAGCGTGGTTATCTCAGACAGGAAGACATTCTGTAGTAGAGGCTCCTTTACAGGAGCTAAACTGCTCAGCAGGCTGGGGTAGACCTCAGGAACTACATCCATGTGAATGTACTTGTCATTAATGCGACTGAAGAGAAAAAGAAAGCTCACAGGACATGGAGCATAAGTAGTGGTGGATTCTTAAAGGTTCCCAGTTATTAGATAGGAACAGAAAGAAGGCGGCCAAGGAAGAAAAGAAAGTTGTAAAATGGCAGTCATGTGAGGAAATGGTGAATCCCTTCTCCAGGGCCCAAGTGCCACACGCGCCAGCGTTTGGACTGAACTGTAACCCGCCGCTGTGCCGCTAGGCTGCCGAGTGCTCCTTTCTCCAGCCGTGCCAAGTAACCCCATGTTCAGCATGTCGCTTTGACAGTGCCTCAGCTAGCAGGGGAATGTAAAACCAGCCTTTGGGACCCCTTCTTTTTTAAAGGTGGTGGTGATGAAAGTTCCTCTAGGCTGAAGTAGTCAATGCCTTCTTTGCCGCAGTCTTTAATAGCCAGACCAAGTTGTCCTTGGGGTACCCAGCCCCCTGAGCTGGAAGACTGGGACGGGGAGCAGCATGAAGCCCCTGTAACCCAAGGGGAAATGCTTAGCGACCTGCTACACCACTGAGACACACACAGGTCTGTGGGGCCGGATGGGATCCACCCAAGAGGACTCAGGGAGCTGGCAGAGGTGCTCACCAAGCCACTCTCCATCATCCATCAGCAGTGCTGGCTGACCGGGGAGGTCCCAGTTGACCCGAGGTTGGCAAATGTGACGCCCATCTACACAAAAGGCTGGAGGGAGGATCCAGGGAACTGCACGCCTGTCAGCCTGACCTCAGTGCCCAGGAAGGTCATGGAGCAGATCATCCTGAGTGCCATCACAGGGCACGTTCAGGACAACCAGGAGATCAGGCCCCCTTGGCGTGGCTTTATGAAAGGCAGGTCCTGCTTGACCAACCTGGTCTCCTTCTGTGACAAGGTGACCCCGCTTAGTGGACAAGGGAAAGGCTGTGGCTGTTCTCTACCTGGACTTTAGCAAAGCCTTTGGCACTGTCTCCCACAGCATCTCCTGGAGAAACTGGTTGCCCATGGCCTGGACAGGCGTACACTTCACTAGGTAAAAAACTGGCCAGGTAGGCAGGCCCGAAGGGGGGTGGTGAATGGAGTTCAATCCAGTTGCAGGCCGGTCACAAGGGGTGTTCCCAGGGCTCAGTGCTGGGCCCAGCTCTGTTTAACATCTTTGTCTAGACAGCAATATAAAGAGTTTTTGCACACTCCATTGTACTGACCTGTAATTGCGTGCCGTGGCTGCTGGGTGTCTGAGGGAATAGGAGCGGGCTGGTGGCACAGAGTGCAGGATTTCATGCTCGTTTTTGTGGAAGAGAGACAGTATATGCTAATATTCAGTTCCTTTTTCTGTGTCGACAAACAACTGTCAGTGACAGAGATAATCAAATAAATAAATGAAAATGTGTCCATAGCTAGCCCATGAGATAGGGATGCGAGATTGAAACCCTGACTGATTTTTGTGTTGTGATTGGATTCTAGTTGGTCAGAAATAGTTTTCTACAGCAAGAATCCAAATGCTGTGATCGTTACGCAGGTCACCCAGTTATGACACACTC